GAAGAACACGAGAAGCACCTCCGCACAACCTTGCAAACCCTGAGGGAAAACCAGCTATACGCCAAACTCTCCAAATACGAATTTTGGAAGGAGAACGTGGCATTCCTGGGACACGTGATAACCAAGGAGGGGATCAGGGTGGATCCAACCAAGATCCACGCAGTCAAGGAATGGCCCACACCAAAGGCAATCTCGGAGGTCAGGAGCTTCCTTGGTTTGGTCGGCTACTATCGGAAGTTTGTACCCGATTTCACCAGAATAGCCCAACCTCTAACCAGACTCATGAAGAAGGAGATCCCCTTTCGGTGGGACGACAATTACACTTCAGCCTTTTAGGAGCTAAAAGAAAGGCTGACCACAGCCCCCGTACTAGCGCTACCCTCAGGGGTAGAGGGATTCGAAGTTTTCAGCGATGCCTCTAAAAGGGGGCTGGGATGCGTGCTAATGCAGAATGGCAAGGTAATAGCATACGCATCCAGACAACTCAAAACCCACAAAGAAAACTACCCCACGCACAACCTAGAGCTAGCCGCCATAGTATTTTCCCTAAAAATCTGGAGACATTATCTATATGGAGTGTAATGCAAGATCTACACGGACCATAAAAGCCTGAAATACATCTTCAATCAAAAGGATCTGAACATGCGGCAACGACGATGGTTGGAACTCATAAAAGATTATGACTTGGATATTCAGTACCACGAGGGAAAAGCTAACGTGGTGGCAGACGCACTAAGTCGAAAAACTAGCCACTCTCTCAGCACCACGTGGGTCCTGTCAGACGAACTATGTAAAGAATTTCAAAGGTTAAATTTGGAAATAGTGGAGCAAGGACGACCAAATTTGGAAATTCACCTATTTAATCTTAGGATCATACCCACACTACTCTAAGAAATCAAAGCCGGGCAGCGACAGGATCCTGAGTTAGATAAAATACGACTCGACCTGACCCGGGGAAAGGACGGGCCATTCAAACTATCTAATGATGGCAGCCTCCGCTATAAGGGAAGATGGTGCGTACCTACAACACACCCCCACCTAAAACAAAAAATCTTAGAGGAAGGGCACAGTTCACCGTACTCCGTGCATCCCGGAGGCAATAAACTATACCAAGATGTGAAGAAGTTGTTTTGGTGGCCCAACATGAAAAAGGAAGTCGCAGACTTCGTAAGCAAATGCCTGAACTGCCAAAGAGTAAAAGCCGAACGGTGCAAGCCAAGGGACTCGTGCAACCCCTCGAAATACCCAAAGGGGAGTGAGATTCCATATCTATGGACTTCGTAGGCGGTTTACCCACGACACCAACAGGGAAGGACAAAATCTGGGTAATAGTGGAGCGACTAACCAAGACAGCATGGTTCATTGCCATGAAAGAAACCTAGACAATGACACAACTAGCCAGGGCCTACCTGAGCCGGGTGGTGAAATACCACGGAGTCCCCCGAAACATTGTTTCCGATAGGGACCCCAAGTTCCTCTCACAATTCTGAAAATCCCTACAAACGGCCATGGGAACAAGACTAAGCTTGAACACCGCCTTCCACCCCACTACTGACGGCCAGACCGAGAGGACAATTCAAACTCTCGAAGACATGCTAAGAGCCTGCATGATAGACTTCCAGGAGACATGGGAAGAACACCTAGATCTTATCGAATTCTCTTACAACAACAGCTATCACGCAAGCATCCGCATGGCTCCCTACGAGGCACTATATGGTCAAAAATGTAGGACACCCATATGCTGGTAAGACATGGTCAATCTAGTAAACCTGGGGCCACAATACCTACAGGACACTATAACGAAAGTCAAACACATACAAGAAAGAATTAAGGCCGCCCAGGACCGCCAGAAGTCCTACGCTGACCTGGGTAGGAAACAGGCCGAGTTCTCCACAGGAGAGAAGGTTTGGCTAAAGATCTCACCCACTCAGGGAGTGATGAGGTTCGGAAAGAAGGGGAAGCTCAGTCCCCGATTCATTGGTCCCTACGAAATCTTAGAGAAAGTCGGGAACCTAGCCTACCGCATCGCCTTACCCGCCGAGCTAGAACGAGTGCACAACGTGTTCCACGTATCGCAACTAAAGAAATACGTGCAAAATGCAAATCACGTATTGCAACCCGAGACAGTAAGCCTGGACGACACCCTGACATACGGGGAGAAACCCGTAAGGATCCTGGACACTAAGACAAGGGCCACTCGCCAAAGGACTATAGAAATGGTAAAGATCCTCTGGTCCAATCACGGGATCGAAGAGGCAACATGGGAACTTAAAGACGCCATGAGGGAACGCTACCCCAAGCTTTTCACACAAGGTAACCAAGACAGGGTAAGGAAGGATGGCCGACCTCAGCAAATCTAAGCTTCGGGGATGAAACTTTCTGTTAAGGGGAGAGGGTGTAACACCCCGTGTTACGGCCTCTAACCTAGACGAATTATTTAATTTCTTACCATTAATAGAGGTTTAAATTCCCTTAATTAATTAAGAAGGGTCCACCATGGACCATGGACCATTATCCTTAAACCAAACCCTTAGTCCTATAAGGAATAGAATAAGTGAATCCTTACCATTCAAACCATAGTTAGGACTCCTAAATATATATATATATATATAAGGACTTAGGAGGCACCTAGAAATTCCACCACAATAGATTCCACCACACAAGAATTCCCAGGAATTCACCGGTCACCGAACGTAGGAGAAATCACGAGGAGGAGATCTTAGAAAAAGAACCTTAGTAGCCAAGGATTCTAATTAAGGCTAAGAGGTAACCCATGTCTCAACAAAACCTATTTTCCTTGCTATATCTTCTTCATTGGCTCATTTGATATATGATTATGTTCTCGAGTCTTGATAAAGCTTTGCCTGAGATTGATATTGTGTTTATGAGATAATCTTGATGTTTATGTGTTAATCTTGATGCTTATGTGACAATCTTGATGTTCTTGTTTCCATGATAAGTTATATGAATGATCTTTTGTTTTGATTATGACTAGAGCCCTAGGGTAATAGACGAGGATTTCGTATTATGTGGTTTTGGTATGTTTGGGTGGGATTTTGCATGTTCGGGTGTTGAGTCTTGGCATGTTTAGGAGTCGAGTTAGGATGTATTTGGTGTGTTTCTTGGTTTAAATCCGTTACTTGAATACGTGGTGTCGTCGTTTGTATTTGAATGTGTCTGAACATGGTTTCGGGCTCATAGGAGTCAGTGAGGGGTAGGTGGGGGCAGGGGTACCCACTGCCCCATGCCCTCTTCCCAGCGGGCAGGCGACTGCCCGCCCGGCACCCGCTGGTTTGTGCTCCGCCGCCGACGGGTGGTCCTCCACCCGCTGAAATTTTGGTGCCGACCGTGGTGTTTTTTCCCGTTTGATGTTTCCCTGTGTCCCGTTGTACCCTGTTTGTCGTGTGTGAGTCTAGTTTGGTGTATCGGGTATCATTCTTAGGATAAAAGATTCTTGTGTATTGCATGATAGTTGAATTGGTATCCCGTTGGCCTAGGAGGAAGGTGTATGATCCCTAGGAGTGCCGTGAGTAGTTTGATGTGGTTTGTTAGGTATGAATTATATTAGGATAAGTGTTCCCCAATGATTCCCCCTCCTTATGTGTCAATGTGGGTTGCATGTTGATTGGCTCCTGTGTTAATTGTGCATGGTACCCCAATTGGTTGCGATCAATTGGCTATACAGGCAGTTGGATGGCTATATAGGGCTGCGGTCCATAATCTGGTTGCGATCAGATATATACATGATAATAGGGATGCGGTCCGCCGTTTGGTTGCGATCAAACGTTATGATATAAATGAGCTGCGGTTCATCAATTGGTTGCGATCAATCTCGTTGTGTTGCGGTATAAGTAGGGTGTTGCAAGGCCATGTCAGAGCTATATGCACTGACACTTCGTGTATGGGCACGTGAAGGGTCCTGTGGCGCCACTAAATGTGTAAACGTGTTTTATTGATGATTGTGGCTGAAATAGTAATTGAATATTGATATGATTGATATGGAATAGTCTTGTGACCTTAGGGTGCATGCTAGAATCTTTATGTGTGTGATTAATGTGTCTAACATTGCTTGATTGAGTGTACTCTATGTTTTAAATTAGAGTTTCAAAAGTATATATGTATTCCGGCTTCAAAATGATTTTCCTTATATATATCTACCTATATTGTACTTAACGCATTGGAGTGGGTTACCAGCATTATTCACTGAATAGATATATTTGGTTTTCAGGCACAGATGAGTAGTTCCGGAGCGCGCTAGTCGGACCCGTGGATCTAGCTAGATAGTTCTATTATCGGCCTGTGTGCCTTGAAGTTGTAATAGATATTGATTTGAGGATAGTTTAGCCTATACATCTGAGTTCTTCAGCTCAAATGTGGCATAGCACCCCGATAATTATATTTAGATTATGCTCTGTTTAGGATTTGATAATGGAATTGCCTTTATTTCATAAGCGTTAAAAGTTTTAAAATTTAGGGGTGTTACAGTTGAAATCTAGTTCTATCTGATTCTTGAAGAAATTTATTCAAATCTTTGCACTCTCTGAATCTTAGTACAAGTGATGTAGTGTGTCAAATAACTCCAATAACTCCTTCAGATTGCAAAAGTTACAGAGACAAGTGATGTAGTGTGTCAAAAGATTGGAAACACTTTAACCGAGAAAGGACATCTATCTTTGCAACATTATGAGGACACACGAACCAATCTGAAGGAGTTATTGGAGTATCAAAATACTTTGTAGACAAGAATTGATAGAGCCGAAAGACTTTTGAAAGGGGATCTTACTGAAGGATTATTACAGATAATCCAACACATGAAGAAGGAACGAGAAGCTACCGAGAAGATCAACAATGAAAGACACTTGAGGCAAATAAAGGCCATACAAGATCAAGAGACCAGGATAAATCACCTTGAGGTGGAATCGTAACACCTCACTTTTCTTAAACATAATTAAAGTTCTAAAACCAAATTAAGATAAACTAAACAGTGGAAAATCAAACTTAATTAACAAACTAGTGGGAATGTCACCGCCACAACTACCTTCCCACGGTGATTGCACAGGCTAAGGATAGAACTAAACACCAAAACAAACTAATATCCGAAATCTACTGCGTCAAAGTAACTTGGGGAAAAGTAACCCGGTGTCTACCACCAACAAAACATAAGGTGTCTACATCCATCATCCATAACATCATAAAACAAAACAAGAGTTTAGACTATTAGATCTACTAAACTAGTCTAACTCGAACAACTCTCAAACGCTGGGCCCATCTGAAAGGGGTTTTGCAAAACAACAAGTAGACAAGTAGAAAACACCCGTTAGCATGAAGCTAAGTATAACCACACTCCACCCTGTAAAATACTACAGTATATACTTTAGAAAACATTTGTTCACATTCTCAAATTAAGCAATTCAATCATTAAAACAAACTTTGAGATAAACCACAAGCTTTCTATACGCTCGCAACCTATAATATCAACATGCATGCTTCATCAATATACAACTTATCAACATAATCATACTAACACATGAACAACATAGAAAAACTCAACTCTATAGAACAACTCCATAACAATCTCATGCAATCAAGTTCTCAACATGCAATTAAGAGATATCAACTTCAATATGCAACTAAGGCAATCATACTCAATTTACAATCCTGGGTAATCATTCTCAATATGCAATCTAGTGCAAACGTTCTCATTATGCAATCCCGTGCAATACTATACTCAAATGCAATCTCGTGCAAACATTCTCATTATGCAATCTCGTGCAATACTATAAGTATGCTTATACACTCGTTTGTAAATAGAATACTTTTCTGTGGAGGTCTCTTAGAGCCACAAGGACTCGCTTACTTTCATTTCTTAGAGTCGCAATGACTCGCTTTCTTTACAAATGGATGAGGTAGGAACTTCACCGTAGCGTGAACGAACCTATCCCGGTACGGCCTCTAGCCGACCTATGCTCAATCTCATCCACCGAACCACTCTCTTGGTTCTAAACTCATCTCTGGGGAATCAGGTATCGAACTTTTAGTGTGCACACCCCCTGACCAGGATTCAAGCCTGGCGGGCAGTTTCCAACCTCGTAACGTGGAAATACACGGTGTTACAACACATCGAATCGCAATATCCGATCAACATCATCCGAAATGACATAGTCCCAACGGGTCCTCCAAAACCTCACATATATATATATATATATATATATATATATATATATATATATATATATATATATATATATCATGCACCAAACTTATGTATGTCACAACTCAACAACTTCTCAGTGCAACAAGGTAAAGACATATCACATGGTCATGATTTTTGGAAAATAATACTTAGGCTCACGTTGGTCATTTATGCACTTATAAAGCATGATATGCTTAGAGTGCAATTTACTATACAACATGCTTCAAATCTATATATCACAGTGAAATCTCAATAATTCAATAAATCATGCTTGTAAGTCATAACTTGACAAATCTCCTCAACTAACACTTAGCAAGTATTTAACATGCCATTAGAACTCAAAATGCTCGATGTAACCTCATTCATAGTATAACAATACTCAAGGAAATCATGCGCAGTACATCATGGTGATTCTAAAACAAGGGCAGACAACTCAAATGAACATACTAGACATTTTAGTCATGCTTCTTCTAGCAAAACTTAGCACATAGGACTCATGCTTTTCTATTTAACAAGTCAGTAATATCATGCTCAACATATAGAGGATCAAAGCCTGGTAAACACTTAATCTCATTTACTGAACATGCTTCTGCAACATTTTCTTATACAAAAACATTCATAACTAGCTCAAAACTTAACCAAATCCAACGAAATCAAAGCCAAAACGTGCGTCAAGACGGCCCCGAGGTACCGAGCCACAAGGGCCCGTGACACCTGGTTCGAAATGACACGTAGCTGAACCGCAAGGGCCCGGCCACTGCACAGGGAATAACTCAATGGACCTTGGGGCGGGGCTCAACTAGGCCCGCCCTTCGAACCGCCAACTCGCCGGCTCTAGCCAACGGTCCCCTTGTTGGGCCGTTGGCTGGGGCCGGTGAATCTACTGGTGCGCACTGCCTGTGCACCAGATGATTTCTTCTCATCTGTAAAACATTTTCAGGCAAATCTAGCACATCCAAAACATTAACAACACATCATTGACAAGTAATAGATCACTTAATAGCTCAAACACTTCAAAAATCTAGCATTTCTACTCATTTCTACCTATAAAACAATGGCTTCACAGAGTCAAAACTTAAGATGGGAGTCCATGGAGTTATACCTTTAATCCGAGCTCCAAAGCTACGCACTTGGTCCTTGACTCAACTCCAAGGCTGACTGTTTGAGAAGGGAACCTGTGATTCAACCAATCCCTTATTCACTTACTCAAATACTATTATTAATAATAATAGAGTCACTTTTTAAACATAATAATTATCCCATACTCTTTACTCTCTTTAATCCATCCCAAAATAATAACATAAATTGGGATTAGAATGCTAGAAGGAGGATTCAAACCCTAGCCTTCCTCTTATTCTCTTATCTAACCAAAAAGCTAACCACTCCTCCATTTTACTCCTTTAATCCATTATTAACATCTTAAGCATGTTATTAACTTATTAGGTCCAAAATAATAATAATGAACATTATGCCATCCTCACGTCATTAACTGTTCATCATCATCGGCATCATTAACAAATACATGTTTCTCCTCAACTTATAACTCTTAATAAAAGACTCCAAGGACAACCACATATCTTACCCATGTTCCAGCTGTCAACCATTGCCGGAAGATGCTCGCCGTATTAAGGGATAATATTTATATACCTTTTCTTATCTTGATTTAGTCTAGGTAGTTATATTTTATCTCCTAGAATTAGTCTAGAGCTGTTACTGGCATCTCCTATTTATACCTTGTATTCTTATGTGTTTGATGAATAAACTAAATACAAGAGCTCGCTGTCGGAACAGGGGTCGCCGAAAAACTGTACGTACGCTGTCCTGCTGTTACTTCGCCGGAGAAGCTGCCTTCTTCGACCGAGGAAGAGCTCTGTACACGCCGGAGCAGGGGAAAACCTTGCCGCTGCTGGGTTCGTCGAAGAAGGAAACCAGCTGCCTCCACCACTGCCGGACTTGTTGCTGTCTCGATCTGCCACTCTGCTTGCCGGAGAAAGACGCCATCCACTCCCAAGGCTCACGCTGAAGCTGCTAGTTGAGCTGAAGAGAACAAGAGAAAAGGAAGGACAGAGGGCTGCTTGGTTGCTCGGCAGAGAGAAGCAAATGAGGAATGTTTTTGGCTGAAGATTTCCCAACAAAATAACATATATATAATATAAGATATAAAAATAAATATATATTGGTCCAAATAGAGTAGGGTTTCCATACTAGAGTATCGGGTTGGGTCAAAATGTTGTGCTATACACTTTAGATTCAAGAAATAATTGTTGGGCTTAAAATTTTGGACAAGAATAAACTACACTTGGCTCAAAATAATTTATTCAACACCGATTTTCTCGCAAAAAGTTTTATGGAGTGAAAATTGGCTATTTTGAAATTTCTTAAAACCGGATTTATAAAATAATAATTTGGGTTGTCACGGGAATTATCCTCTATAGCTAATAAAATATCTGTTTGTTTTGTAGGATGTTTCTCTCAAAACTCATGATGGTGTTGAACTTGTTAAAGCCAATCAGGAACAAGGTTCCAAAACCCTTGAATTTTTGGTTGATAATGCCAAAAGGGGGGAAGAAATTCTCAATCATCTGGCTTTACAACAACAGGAATTTATCCTTGGAGGTCAACAAGAACAACAACCAGTTTTGACCGCACCAACAAAAGGCTATAGCCGAGGTCGTGGTCAACCATCCCAAGTTGGTTTCGCTCAATTTTCAAATCCTAGTCTTGGATCAAGCTCATCGAAAGTTGCTAAAACTCATGGCTAGTTCGAATGTTCAAAAGGATCCGCAACACCGCAGAAAATTTGGACAGCCGAGAATGTGCCAAATATGGTAAAAAGATGGCTCAAAGCAGATCAAACTCAATGGATATCTTACAAGAATAATGAAGAAAAAAAAAAAGCAAAAAGGAAGTGAACCGAGATGTGGTACGAGCTTAGAGATCATACCAACAATAATGGTGAAAATTTGGGATTCCAAAGAAGCTTTGAGGAATGCATAGTTTGGTGGGAAGTCGGAGTTCTTCCGGGCACCAACATTAAATATGCCTTTGGACATTATATGGCTGGGAATGTGACCAAGAGATTTGAAAGTGAGAAATTCAAAGATGATGTCTACAAGACAAGAGAACACATCAACGATATATTGAAAGCAGATATGGGAGTCAAGAAACGCAGAAGGTAATCAGATATGAATTCCTCGAAAATCTGATGTTCTAAATATCATTGTTTTGAATTTTGTCTATGATATAATGTAACACCCCTAAATTTTTAAAACTTTTAAAGCTTATGGAATAAAGGAAAATCTATTATTGATTCCCAAACAGAGCATAAACTAGATACAGTAGTCGGGGTGCTATGCCACATCTGAGCTGGAAAACTCAGATGCATAGGCTATACTAACTAACAAAGCATAAATCACAACTAATACCTACATACGAATCAAGGCACGTAGGCCATCTCATCAAGGCTAGAACTATCTAAACTAAGTCCACGAATCCAACTACCGCGCTCCGTAGCTACTCAACTGTCCCTGAAAAACGTTCGGTGTAACAACCGTCAGCGAATAATGCTGGTAACCCACTCCAACGCGTTAAGTACAATATAGGTAGATATAAGAAAGCAAGTCTAAGGTGGGTGTGTGCCTTTAGCACAGTCACCGCTATGGCATGTACCTTTAGTACAATAACCGGGCATAAGTGGTACCAACCGCCAACAGTTTATTTTCCCCTAATCACAATCTCATCATCATCAGTCAGACTGGCCATTGCGCAATGACCACGATACTCATCATCATCCAATCAATTAACACATAATCACATAATAAGCAAGACACAACAACAATGACACGTATCACACATAAAATCCTAGAATGATGCCTAAAACACCGAACGAGACTCATACACGACAAACGGGGTACAACGGGGCACGGGAAAATATAAAACGGGGAAAAACACCACGAACCACGCCGAGTTTCCAGCGGGTAGGTGGCGGGTGGAGGACCACCTGCCAGCCATCTGCCGGCGACCGGGCACTATTCCAACGGGTGGCCGGCGGGCGGTGCCCACTGGAACAGTGAATGCGAGCAGCGGGTAGGTGGCGGGTGGTCCGTCCCCCCACCTACCCCCCACTGATACACAGGCAACTTTTGGGTCCAGGATCTCTCGTGGAACCCGAAACCATGTCTAAACACATTCAAACACATAACGACAACACCACATATTCAAGTAACGGAATCAAACCAAGAATCACACCAAATACACCGTAACACGATTCCTAAACATGTCAAAACTCAAAATAAATCACATAACGATCCAGGGACATCTGGAATCACAATAACATCAAGAAATCTATATGCAAAGTCCTAAACACAAGTCCTAGGCTAGACTCAACACCCGATCATGCAAAATCTCCCCCAAATATACTAAGAACATCATAATACGAAATCCACGTTATAACCCTAGGGCTCTAGACATAATCAAAATACAAGATCGTTCATATAATTAATCACAGTATCAAGAACATCAAGATTATCACATAAACATCAAGATTATCACATAAACACAATAAAAACCCTAGGCAAAGCTCTATCAAGACTCAAGCAAAGAATCATATATCAAATGAGCCAATGAATAAGATATAGCAAGGAAAATAGGTTTTGTCGAGACATGGGTTACCTCTTAGCCTTAATTAATCCTCCCTTGGCTATTAAGGTTCTTCCCTAAGATTTCCATCCGATTGATCTCCCTAGGCTTGGTGGTGGGGAATCCCTTCGGAATAATTTCGTGTAATATAACTATGGGTGGTAAGGGTCTAATTGCTTTCTAACCCCCTATTTATAGAATCAGGAATCCTAATCAGAATCTGAATAGTGAAGGCCTACTTTCTTTATCCCTAACAGATATATAGGTCTAGGATTCCTAATTAGAATCTGACTAGTAAAAGGTCTACTCTCTTTATTCCTAATAGGCTTAAGACTCTAGTTTAGGTAAGGGTTCACGGTCCATGGTGGACCACATTAATTAATTAGAGGAAATCCTAACCAAATTAAATCAGTTTTAATTATTATTAACGGAATTAATTTAATAATTAATCCGAGATTAAAGTCCGTAACACGGGGTGTTACATATAAATTTCCTCTGTTCAACTTATCGAAATAAATATTTTTCCTTGGTCTAATCTAAGTCGATTTTAATTTAATTTGGCACTTTTGTATTAGTTCGTGAATTAAAAGACAAGAGTAGTAAAACGCATAACAAAATTAAAATTGATTAAAAATGACTCAATTATGCATATAGGACTTGTCAAAAATTAATTCCATGAAGAAATCCCTCAATAGTTCCCGAAGAAGAAGAACGTGACTTGGACTTTGCATGAAGCTATCTTGGAGATCAAGCATCTATGGAAAGAAAGGAGTACACCAAGTGAAACAAGATAGTAACCAAAAGGTTGTACGAATGAAATGGTAGAAGCTTGAAATATTAAACCCAAGGTCATAGGTTTAAAACTCGCATTTTACATATTTTAAAAAAGGCAAGATTAAATCCATCAGATGAGATATCCTAAGGGATGAAGTTTAAAATCAAAGAAGAAGAAACACAAGCAAAAATACTAGTAAGGGAATAAATTAGAGATTATATTTTGAAGATAAAACTCGCATTTTACATATTTTAAAAAAGGCAAGATTAAATCCATCAGATGAGATATCCTAAGGGATGAAGTTTAAAATCAAAGAAGAAGAAACCCAAGCAAAAATACTAGTAAGGGAATAAATTAGAGATTATATTTTGAAGATAGAAAACCCAGATGGCTGATCTACATCGGAAGAAGTTTTGGGAAGCCATTTTTACGTGGACTTGAAGCTCAACTTGCAGAGAATCTCTGACATATCTGCAACACTATCTTATCCTCTGAAAAAGCTACAACATCTAGAAGAAATTCAAAATGAGAACGTCTTTTTCCAACGGGTAGATTCTCATTACCAACTATATAAGGATGAAGATTGAAGCAGTGGAAAGCAGAAGCAAGAACACACAAAAGCAAAGAACAAAGCTAAACAGAACATACGAAAATCAAAAGAGTTTTCCATCTCAAAAGTTATATTTGAAATATTCAAAGTGAGAAAAACACTTAGAGTGCTCAGAAGCTTACACAGAAATATTCAAGAGAGCACTAAATCTTCATCATTGAGAGACTTGGCGAATATTGAAGATCATCTACAGAGTTTAAAGTTGGAAGCAAGGCAAACTTGTTTTGGAGCAAAACAAGTAGAAGTTCTACCGGAGCGTAGAAGTTGGCGGGAAAGTAGCACGGAGTTGTGAAATCCTGAATAGTAGCACGGAGTTGTGAAATCCTGGATAGTAGCACGGAGTTGTGAAATCCTGGATAGTAGCACGGAGTTGTGAAATCCGAAGTTGTAGTTCTACCGGAGAGTAGAAAGGGGAGGAAAGTAACGCGGAGACGTGAAATCCTGGAAACTAACGCGGAGTCCTGAAATCTGAAGCAGCAGTGTTGGTGGCACTGGGCGTGATTAGTGTGGGCTTGGTGATCAAAGCACAAGATCACGGAATTCATTGTATCTAGAAACCAAGTAGTGGTGGATATAGTGAATTGCTATTGGAGATAAGAACAAGTAGAGTAGGAGGATTACACCACCTCCGAACCACTATAATTGCCTTGTGTTCTTTACCGCTTTCTTTACTTACTGCTCTTGCTTGCTTCTCACGAGGATAAACTTGACACAAATACACACACATCGCATCGTTTATTATTTCCGCTGTGCACAAGACTCTAACAATCTAGTTAAGAGTTTTGGTTTCTCTGTTGCCTTAGCAATTGTTGTATTTGAGAAACGGTTTAAAAGTCTATTCACCCCCCCCCCCCCCCCCCCTCTAGACTTTTACCATACCTCTTTTGGGACCAACACCGACGCCCTTTTCAACATATTTTCGAAGCATAAGTTTGCGAAAACTATTTGGGACTTACTGCAACAAAAATATGGTACTGATGACGCTGGAAGGATGATATTGTATGTAAAGCAGTGGATGGAAAGAAGTTTGGGAATGAAGATTCCTGGGATGTCTTTCTCAAAGGATGACAAATTGGAGAGTTTAGTATGAGTTTGGAAGGTAACACATCGGCAAGCTAGGCCAAGTGCAAGTGCTTAAAATCATGATTAACAAGGTGTACGATACGACGGATTAAAAAAAC